TATATACCGTAGTTATTAGCTTGTTAAATGAGACGATGCAGCAGTATAAGATTATCAACGGCATGAACCAGCATTGTCATATTGCTGGGCTGCTTAATACACGGTATATGGTATATACGTACAGCATAAAGTAGTAATGCTACGTTTTGGTGACGAAGACGGCAGCACAAAAAAAAAAGAAGAAAGAAAAATACTCTACGTACTATTTATATGTAATTACTGTAATGCTGAGCACATCGCTCAATTGTACAACAAGAGCTAGTGTGCATGCTGATTGGTGATATGCAACAATAAATATTGACAAGTCCGTGCGCCACCGAGTCTGACAGAAAAACGCGCCTAAACAGTTCAGTATTATAGTAAAAACGTACAACATCAGCACTCATAATATAACCCCCCCCCCCACACACACACACACATGTATATAAATGTATATATGTATAGACCACCAACAGTATACAGCGCAGCACCAGCACCAGCATTAATATACACCGCCGACCGACGACACGTGAAATAATAACAATAATAATAATAATAATAAGAAGAAGAAGAAGAATAAGGCATGCTGCATATATATACTACAGCAGTAGTATTTCCACCATGCAACAAACAACACTGTTGGAGCTGCGGCCGAGTCGAAAAACATACCTGCGCGTATGTATGCGTATCCGAACGATAGATATAATATGCTGTAATACGCACTGATACAAGCTCTATATAGCAGCTATATAGCACCGTCTCACATCAGAAGGATACAGCGAATATATAACTCTATACTTTACACTACGACAGCAGCACCTGATGTACTGCACTATACAGCATATACGACGACGAGCGATATGGATAGATAGTTGAGACAAGAACCACACACCTTCCTTATTCTTACGGCCCCTTTATCTCGCGTATCGTCGTTCCTCGCTTTCTCGATCGAGAGTGTGTGTCTCGACGACGATAGGATCCCTTTGCTGGCTGCTTATTGCTTGCTTGCATGCACGCATATACGATGAGAGTATGTACATACGAGCAGCCATCTCGATCACCACCAACGGAAAGCACCAGCAGCAGTGTAGATACGAGGGCTCGAATTGCGCTGAATCATCATCATCGCCATTGCACTATCATTCCTGATGCAATAATATACTGACACCATAGATATAGACTGCTGCTGCTGCTGCTGTATGTTAGTGAGATACAGAATAAGATCCATTAGGGGGGGCTATCTCATCCTCGTCGACGATATACACTAAACTGAACACGTACAGTTTGTATATCGACTGCCACCAGCAGCAGCAGCAGCCGCAGTTCTTGTCAGTCACAGTACAGTACAGTACATATAAGAGTCACATCACATCACGGCGCTATATACTCGATCGTCGTCGTAAAATCAGGGTTGTCGGCCCCCGCGCGGGAATTACAATATTAGATGCGCATTATTCTGCTGTACATGATGATGGTATTTACTGCTGCGGGCCGGCTTTACATTTCCGTATCTCGCTTTTTCTCAGGACAGCAAGAATAAAGGAATAGATAAGAAGAAGGATGAGAAAGATAAAAACGGAATCCAGTATACAGTATACTATAGAGCGTTGTATACTGTATATAGAGTACTGTAGCATTTTTGTACTTGGGCGATGAGTGTGGCGTCTATACATTTCCCAACAGCGGAAACTCGGTAGCTAATTAATTGTCAGGCATCCCTATATATACAATACTTCAAGTCATACAATTGTTTAAGATTTTAAGAACAAGTTCATAATATGACACAAAGATGACAATCACAAAATACCTCTCAGCAGCAAGCTCTGGGACTTTTTGAATACGCAATTGTTTCCAATGACAGCTCAAGAAAAAGTTTTTTGGTAAGAATCAGAAAGGGCTTTTATTAATTTGTCGCACCTTGGCTTATTTGATCGGATCCATGCAGTTCTCCGACTGATGGGGATCAATCAATTTTTGAAGGCCTGGGATATTGGCCAGGAAAATCTGAGTTGAAGTCAACTCTAGGCTCAGAATCTCGTGATCAAAAGTTGTCCAAGTTTTTCCGTTTTCCTGGGTAATTGGTTTTTGTCCTCGGGTGATTTGTTGACCCCATTTACGCTTCCACAATATAATGAGGCGCGTATCACACTGGGGGGGTGGCAGCTTTCCCCAACACCTTGTATATTCCTTGTCCTTAGGGAATCTTTTGTGAGGTTGACGTGCTGGTGAAATCTAGGAAAACACGCCTTAATGAATTTAGATCCCTAATTGGAAGTCATATTGTACTGTACGTACAGAACATGCAAAAGTTTATACGACACACTACACTAGAGTCGCAGCACGGAAAACGTTTCCTGGATGTAATCGAGTCAGTGAACTAGATGTCGCTTGCTCTCACGTAACTCGCTGTTCTTCCGGCTCATCCATCCTCGTATACATAGCCGCCTTCCTTATTTCCAGCCTTCCTATACAGTATAGTTGTCCTCGCGCTTTCCCCCCCCCCCCCCTCGCCACGAATAAAATGATAGCTGTTTTAAAGTGTCACAGGTACGAGTACACCGTAGACGTTGTTGACACTTGAGCCGCAAAACCATCATGCTCCTATAAGTTATTGTTGCACCAGGACGTTCTTTGCTGCCGGGTACTGTATATACAGTATATGCTGACCAGTACCGCACTCGGTTCCGCGGGTATAAAATTACAGTGCAATGACATCGAGCAGCAGCACCATCAGTAAAATCGCGAAGATTTGAAAGCATCAGTTCTTCTTCTTCAGCAGGTTCCCGTATTGACTGAGTGACAGGTGATGCATACAGAAGATTGCTGCTGAGAATAAAGACACTGTGTTTTCATTTTCTGAAGGTTATAAATGATGAACAGAGTGCTGGCGATAATTTTAGGATTTAATGTTTGAATTTCTCTTGTTTGAATTGACTAAATTGTATCCTGTAGGTATATATATATATATTTATATATACTGATGTATGCATATCAAGTCGTCATCAGAGGATACAAGAAAAAGTGCTTTTGTTCTTTGCAAATATAATGCAGTACAGTACTGTACAGCACAAGTAATCCGGAAATAGAAGCTTCGTCTGCATGCGGTATTATACATTTCCGCGCGTGGATGAGGTGCCAAAAAGACCTAAATATTGTTATTTTTTTGCAGATTTCTGCTATGATTTGTTGCTTACTTTAAAGGCTGCTGTTTGCAAGCGATATACTGTACAGTATCTGTATGAAAATGGATGATTAAACGCGTCGCTGCTTCGGTTTTTGGATTTCTTGCTATCCCCTGAAACAGTACAGTATATACAGTACTTATTTGGATTGGTGATTTTTTTGCAAGACCAATAGTGTACTGTAGGCGGATGATGATGATGATGATACGATCATCTTGGGCGATGATGTATGTATACAGTATTAGAATATACAATGATAATAAAGTGAAAGTGAATTTGAGAAAATTGGTCTTCGTCCTGCATGTTGATTATTATAGGTCAGCAGTTGAAAGTTGTACGGAGCAGTCGCGGGAATTGAGCCTCATTATCATGCTGTTTGTGCTGAAATTCGGTCGTACAGCACAGCCATCAGTTTATTTATTTTTTTCCCCTTCCTTCTTTTCTCGTCGTCATCGTCTGCAGCAGTTGATCTTGTTGAAGAAAGAAGTCAGCCCCTCCTTGCTGCATCAGGAGTGAAGCGGAATACTGTACACTGAGTGCAGTGTGTGGGGGGTGGATGAGTCACCATCATGCATCGTCAGCGATCGAGGAGGAATATCAGAGGAATAAGATGTGTATCTGATGGCAGTACAGTAAATGTATAGTAGAGTATAGAGTATTGAGAACCAGCAGTGATGAGTATACAAGTGCTGCTGAAATCCATCATTCCTACTATATACAGCAGCCATACAATACTGTGTTGTTGTACAGCAGTTGCACTGTACTGTACTGTATTATACTCGTGCTGCTGCTGCTGTGCCTGCCACAGCCAGCCAGCCAGCCAGCCAGCCAGCCCGCCCCTCATCGTCGTCTCGTCTCATCGAGTCTTCCCGCGCTCGCCATCCGCACTCGCGGATAGCAAAAGTGCTGGAACTGCTGTACTGTACTGTACTGTATACAGTTGTAATATCTCTTATGGCTGCCCTCGAGCCTCCACAGCGGCAGTCGGTGTCGAGCGGTCCGACTGCTTTCATGCCCGTGGTGGTGGTGGTCGTCGTGCGAGACGACAATAAAACATTTCGTACATTTTACGCGTATTTCTGCGTTGAATGCTGGCCGACGGGCATAAGGTGATGGAAAGTGCTGCTGCATGGTGTAGTCATGTAGTGTACAGTATTGATGCTATGCCGCTGCATTATTATTCCACTACAGTGTTGTGAGTTAGTGCGACTGCTGATGCTCAAGTGTGTGTGCGAGTTTGTGTGGTGTGTGTGTGTGTGTGTTCGGGGGGGGTCTGATGATGAGTCCTCTGCTTCCTCTGGCTTCCGATGCTAGGAGCTGATGCAAGTGCAACAATTTTCAAGACAGCAGCATCAATCCCCATTTTCATCTTCACGTCCACCTCTTTTTCTTTTCTTTGCTTCCGTTTCATGCCTGTTGTTGGTCCTGCTCCATTCATTACTGATTGATACATCTTCATTGTCCATCCCGTCAAAACCCTTGTGCTGGTGAGTCATCGTCATGTTCCTTATTATCCTCCATTATTTCGTCGTCCATCATTGTACTTTAGTACCGTGTACAGGACAGTATTTTAAATAATTTGCAGCCAAACTCAACTGATTCATCATCATGTGTACTGTACAGTACTGTACTACATTTTACTTTCTTTTGAGGCCCCGATGAATCACCTTATTACAGTATTTTACAGGACAAAATCGTGCTCATGCAGAGTAGTACAGTATACAGTACAGTACAGTATAGAATAGAGTACTGTACAATGTTTTCCTTTCTCTTTCAAATAAATCCATCGCTCATCAGATGACCTGCTGCTGCTAATGATGCATGGCTCATATCCCTTGCTCGGTAATACTGTACTGTACTCTACTCTACCACAACTGCGCACATAGCAGTACATCGCACATACAGTGTATGAGCAGAGATACATCATGAGTGTTGCAGCGCATGCAGCCGATGCACTCTGTGTCTGTGCATGCAGTATATGTACGTGCTGCTGCACATGAATTACAGCAGCACTTTCATCTGCATATTGAAATCCATGGCGTATTTTCAATAGGGACGTACCATCGATGATTCCTTCTTGTTCCGGAGTCGATCGACGTCTGATGCATGCCACAGTATTATAATACACTATTACTCATTAAAAAAAATACCAAGAAGGGAGGAGTGGGGGTCTGGGGTGGGGAGAGGGGCATCATGATGGTGATGATGGCCAGGATGACTCATCACGCGGATGACGCACACACACACACACACACACACACACACTCTTGCATATTGTACTTTTACAGTACTGTATATACATACAGTACTTTATATGCTTATTACAGATTGCATTTTTATTATTAATTGTCGGTCGCATATGCTGCTGATGGATGGTTATAATCCTCGATGATTGGCATGCTGACAAACTTTACGAGTACAGTATTCTGTGTGAGGCAGACGAATTTCTCGACTCCAAAGTGTATTTATCCGTGTTCAGTAATGTACAGGACAGTACGATACAATAAGTGACAGTGTATACGGCGGATGCATGCATGGCGCCGCTCGTTGACAGCACCCGTATGACCTATAGCTCCCGGCAGCGCGGGAATTTCCAAAAATGAAAATGACATACATTAGATGCAGTAAATATTGATGCACATATTGCACCAGGTGTCATCCAAGCCGTGATTATATGCTGTATAGCTCGTTTATATAGTGCAGCATATCCGCGTATTATTGTTCTCTATCTAGCAATCACAGCGTGATGGTCCATCTGTTGACTTGTAACTCACGAAGGCATTTGCTAATATATACGTATATGCTAAAAGCAGCAACGTGATCTTGTTGTTGTTTTTGTTCAAATCGGAACAATCATCATTACAGTACCGTACTGGACTTGTTTCACGCGCAACACTTGTAGCAGTGTGCCAGCAGTTAGTTGTACATATACTCTACTGTATACATAGCCCCTTTTCAACGCCATCAGCTACCCAGCACAGCAGCACACGTAGTTGTTCCTGCTGATGAAGGATGTAATTACAGTAAATAAGCTGATTATGGTACACAGCAGTGCTGCACGTTTACTTGGAGTGTAAATTATAGTCAACTATTTCCGTGAAAATCAAGGTAGTATTGCTGTTTATATACAGTACCCGTGCGTGCGATGGATGCAAAAATGAAATGGATGCCCTATTGTCTCCCGTCGTTTCTGACTTATTCGCGTGAATTTAGACCCTCTTCTTATCATTTGCTTGGCCAGAACGGTATACAGTACAGTGCAGTATAAATAGGTCATTTCCGGTGTGAAGAGTGAGTACGGTGCAGTACGTGCAAAGGAACTCGCTTCTTCATCGTGCTTGCTGCTATACGAAAATGGGTAGTGCAGTAAAACTGGTGTACTATAATGTATCGTATACTATATTATAGCTGTAATTGGTGCATCTGAAGCCATCATTTGCAGCAACAGCAGCAGCAGCAGCAGTATATAGACGCTGTCTTTATACACAGTATGTACTGCTGTATATAGTTCTTTTTCTTTTCCTATGGTCGTCTGCGCTGCGCGTCGTAGTGTCACGTCATCTTCTTGACTCAGCCAGCAAGATCAGATTTGCCGAGCGGCGCTGAAAAAGAGAGAGCAAAGACAAAACACAAAGAAAAATCCCGGTGGTGGTGGTGGTGGTGTTATTCTGAAAAGGCCCCCGATGCATCTTCAACCCCTGCCCTGCCCCATTTATAATTCGCGCTCTATATAGCTGCATGGATACATAGACGAGAGCTGGGGCTTTTGGCAGGCCACCAAATGGTCCAAGTCGTGTTGTTTTTTTTTTCTTTCTACCCCTGATGTCCCCACCCCCCTCTCCTCCTCTCTTCTATCTTTCTTCTCGATGTCCCCTCCCCTCCTCCCATTTTTTCTTCCTTTTTTCTTTTTCGATCCTTCAAAGGACATTTTTCTCGTCTGTTTTCCTTTATATATATATATGTACTGTACGCCCTGATTCCTTATACTGCTGCTGCTGCTGATGTAGTGTGTTGCCCGTCTCGTCATCCCGCCATCGTCGTATACGACGACGAGTGCCATCAGCAGCAACACGTACCTCCTCGTACAGTATAGTACAGTACTGCCATCTCCCCATTTATTACTATATATACCGCACCATCATCCAACGCTGTAATCATAGTACAGTAGTACTTTATAGTACAGCACTTGCTGTAGTATGAATAGTGTACGCGCGTATTCTTGTTGCAGTGCACTTGTTTTGCTTTACTCATCGGCTGTCAGCATGCACAGCACAATCAAGTGCAATACAGCAATACGTTATTACCTCGTCAGTCAACTCGTCCTCATCCGACCGTGCTGTATAAATGTACTGTAGTGTACTGCAGTATATATTACTGCTCGTCTGCTGAAATATGATTTCCTCCCGCGCGGAGAAACGTTCTTATTATACAGTATGTACAGTACAGTACTGATGGCCATCCTCCTGATTATATACTGCATTAAAGTAATGTACTGTGAATTATCAGAATGATGATGCGTGTCGTCTGCATGCTGATGCCCAGCACTATTACTCGTCGCTCGTTCATCCCCTCTCATAATCCACTAATACTCAACTTCTTTCAAATACTGCATGTACGTAATGTAATGTACAGTACTGTACTGCTGACTTTCCAGCCCCTAATGCGCCTTATTGTACCGTGGAGATACACAGTATCTACGATTTCAGCAGCCAAGCCCTTATTCACGAGTAGAACACGTATTTAGCATGTCAGACGATATAGTAAGCATCTAAATTTATTATTGATGGGGTGGGTATATAACGAGTGGCACGTTTTTTTATATGCTGTACATACAGTACAGTGCTTATCACATTCATTATTCCTTACGTCGTGCAATAAGCTGCATTATCACCCACACTGTTTATTCATTGTATTGAGCAGTGTACGTGTACTGTACAGCTGTACTGTTTTACGTACGTGCTGCTGGTTATCAACTCAAACACACATTAATGCATCAGCAAAAGAAACAATAAGACATGCTGGATGAGGAATGTGGAGGTACTGCTGTATACTGATGAATAACTCACCACTCCTGACGACGATGTGACATATGCATCAATAATAATAAGCGAATGGTACGTTGGCTGACCATATAATAATGCACCAGCATACAGCACTAGATTATATAGTATAAACTATGCCGATATATATATGTTGAGAATAACTCAATGAATCGTCGAGTTTTTCTGATGTCCTGCTGCGCAGCATGTGATGATGCGCATTGCTTGATGAATAAATGGCTCATAATATATACTGTACTGTGCTGTATGTCGTTGTTGTCACACGTCCGCTGGTGTTATATTTTTGCAGCATCAACTACTGTACAGTACATGCATAAGAAAAGGGAATGCTTTTATTACGCTGGATACACTGCTCTTGATGAGTGAGTGACACTGCATGCATGTATACAGTATGGGGTGCTGGCTGAAATAACGTCGTCGTACTAAGCCTCTCCTATACTTGACTGCTGGAACCAGCAACTTGCAAAAAAAAAAAAAAAAAAAAAAATCTTGCCGTGCTTCACAACTGGAATTACCTGATGTGGAACAAGTGTAAAACCTACTGTCGAAGTAAAAAAAAAGCAACTGGAACAAATCTCAGAATGCTTTGAGATATCCGAACAACAAAAATGTTTTCTGCGAGTAACCTAACCTTATTCCATAAATAATTCCAGTTGTTAAGCGCGCGGGAAGATTATTACAGTATGATAATTTGTTGTGGTTGCAAGTTTGATTGCTCCAGCAGCATCAGGAGAGGCTTGACAGCGTTATATTCCGGTTTCAGAACCACGACGACGTTATTCCACCGGGCATCCGACTGATGTGGGTATTGCAGTACAGCACAGTACTTGTATATACAGTAATACTACTGTACATGTGGCGGGGCATTTGGAATGGAGGACAATAAGAGGTGATGTGTTGCTGCTGCTGCTGCTGGCCATATAGCTGTGATTATTCCTGCTACAGTATTATTATGTTTGCTGGCTGGGCTGCTGAGAGCGTTGTACAGCAGTACAGTACAGTATATGAAGAGAACTTGTTGCTGCTGCTGCTGCTGGCGGGGAGAGGTTTTCGACCCGGTTGGTATGCAAATGCCGGAGGACCGAGCAGTGGTGCTCTGCTGGGGCTTTATATTTATACTGCTGCTTGCATGCTGCTTGCATGCTGCCTCATTCGTTTCATTCGCTTCTCATTTATTTGACGCAACGCCGAACTGTGCACGCCACGCCTCGAAACGAACGCTTTCCCTCGAGTAAGTCGATGGACGAGGGTACGACAGGTTCAGGACAGGACAGAAGCGCGGACCGTGTTGCTGTTCCGCACAAGAAAGGGAAAGAGAGAGAAATGAATGGGGGCGTGTGTATAAGCCGCTTGTACTGTATATACAGTACTGTACTGTGTAATATACACGGGTCGGGATGCGCGCGGATGTCCGTTGCTTCTTTCAT